ACCTGGGATTGAACTTGGGCCCTTGTGCTTTTGAAGCAGACAGTGTAACCACTGAGCCAAATCCCCGGCAATAGTTTATGTTTTTAAGAAACACTGGAGGTGTTAAAGTAAGGTGGTGACCATGTTTTATGTTTTAGAAAGCTCTGGGAGATTGTACACATAGTTGATTTTTTTTTTTTCAGTACTTGGGCTGAACTCAGGGCCTTTACACTGAGCTGCATCCTCAGCCCTTTTTATTTTTTATTTTGAGACAGAGGCTCACTAAGTTGCTGATTTACCCATGCTGTGCTCAAACTTGGAATTCTCCTGCCTCAGCCTCCCAGTGTGCTCCAGGATGGGTATTTTTAAGTTTGTCCCTGAGCAAGTGAAATGTGCCGAGCTGGCCTGGCCCCATTTCCAGGGCAGATCTCCCTGGTGCCCCGAATCAAGGGCGTCTGAGAGGACGGGTGCTTTGCCCAGCCGGCTGGTCTGGTGCCTTCACAGACAGGCTTGTGGGGCGGTTGGAATCCGCAGGGTCACAGGCGACCTGTGCTCTGCTTCCCGCTAGGTTTCTCCGGGAACTGTGTCGGCTGCGGCAGGAAAGGCTTCTGCTACTTCACTGAGTTCTCCAACCACATCAACCTGAAGCTCAGCACGCAGCCCAAGAAGCAGAAGCTCCTGAAATACTACCTGGTCCGCGATGCCCATGGCGCCCTCACCAAGGGGCCCCTGATCTGCTGGAAAGGCTCTGGTGAGGGCGGCGGAGGGAGGGCTGCGGGTGTCGGGCGATGGATGTCCTTCTGGCGAGGTGCTGTCTGGGAAGGGACGGAGGAATTGCAGGGGAGTGACATATGGACAGCCGCCCTGCGCCGCCTCTCCTCCACGAGTGTTTGGGGCAGCAGGGACAGTTTGGATGGTCATGGCTGAAGGTGCTACTGGTGTCCAGGGGCAGAGGCCAGGGATGCAGTTAAACACCCGCAGCACCCAGCGCGATGTGGTCCCAAACGCCAGTGTTCAGTGAGGCATTGGGGTGCACACCTGTCATCCCAGTGTGCAGGAGGCTGAGGCAGGAGGATCACCACAAGTTCAAGGCCAGCCTTGAAGATCCTGTCTCAAGAAATGAATCAAACCAAGCCAAAGCAAAACAGCAACAACAACAAAACAAATAAAAAACCCCAAGACACACACACACACACACACACCCACACACACCCACACACACACAACCCCACATCATACTGCTGACATGGAAAAACCCTAACTTTGAGACATCTTGGCTACAACAGTGCACCCCGTGACCTTGAACCCCGTTAAGTGAACCCTCAGGGACCGGCCCTGTACTGCAGGCACTGTCCTCTGTCCCTCCACATCCAGGGTGGCATCTGGTCATGTGGACTCTGCCAGGTGGGCTCTGTGGGCAGGGGAAGAGGCACGGGGCGGTGGGTCTGCATCCCCCTGCCTCCTCCCCCCACCTTCCTGTCCCTGTCTGTGTCCAGGCCTTGTGGGTGGCTCCTTCTTTGTGGGTCTGTTCTTCCATGGTTTTTTTTCCTTCTTTGCAGTGCTGGAATGGGACCCAGGACTTTGCAACCCTTTCTATTTTTATTTTCAGACAGGGCCTCCCTAAGTTGCTAAATTGCCCAGGCTGGGTGTGAACTTGAGATCCTCCTGCCTCAGCCTCCCTGAGTGCTGGCATGATGGGCGCGCACCCCCATGCCCCCTTGGAATCTTGTTTCTAGGCAGCCGGCTCACCTGTGGGATAAGTCCCAGGCTGGGAAACTTCGTAGTGACTGCTGGAGAGGAGAGCATTGGAGCTCATGCTCTCCTCTTCCCCTGCAGAGTTCAGAAGCCGCCAGGCCTCCAACAACGTGAGCTCTGGTCCCGTCTTCCTGCCACTGGAGGGCTCGGGGCCTCTGGCTGCCTTTTCTGGAGAGCCCGGTGCTCCTGGGCCAAACCCCAGCATCCCATTGGGCGCCCTGCAGGCAGGTGAGGTGGTGGAGAAGCGGCATGGGCAGAGGGGTGGCTGCAGCAGACCTGGCTCACTCTGAGGCCTGGTGGGCTTAGAACAACAAAAGTAGCCAAGCGTGGTGGTGCACACCTGTGACCCCAGCATTCAGGAAGCTGAGGCGGGAGGATCGCTGTGAGTTCCTGGTCACCCTGGGCTACGCAGGCTGGCCTCCAACTCCCAGTGCCCTCCGTCAGGTGGGCCTATGCCCAGCGCCTGGGGTCTCTGTCACCCAGCCGGGTGGGTGCCGTCTGAGTGAACGCTGTGTGTGACTTGTGGGGTCACCTTGGCTCCGACCTCCGTGGCGTCGGGGACAGGCGCTGTGCCCGGTACTGGCACAGGGAGATGGAGACGGGGCAGCGCAGGTGCTCCTGGTGCTGCCATCAGCTGCTCTGAGGTGGACTCAGGAGCATGGAGAGGGCGGCGAGGCCCGCGCCAGCTCACAGGTGTCGGACTGGGGTGCACTTGCCCCACCCCGAGCTGCCTCCTGCTTCCACCCAAGGCGCCTCAGTGGGGAGCAGACGCTCGCTCAGCTGCGGAGAGGCGGGGCGGCACTGCGCGGTGAGCCCGCCGGGGTTGTGTGTGCGCAGGTGTGGATGCACGTCCAGTATGCGCTGCACAACCAGGAGTGTGAGCAGAAGTGTGCGTGCAGCAGTGTCACCTGCGCTCGTGTATGTGCTGCACAGATAGCGTGCACGTGTGTACAGGAGCCCGTGTAAGCGCGCACAAGTGAGCAGACGTGTGCGCATGCACGTGAGCCTGCACGAGCAGGAGTCGTGTGCACACACGTGTGCCCGGTGCACGCACGAGCAGCTGTGTATACGCTTGTGCGTGTGTGCCTGGCTCCCGGGGACGGGCTCAGCCCGG